GGCCCGGCCCGGCCCGCAAAAATTTGCGGGCCGGGCCGGGCCGGGCCGGGCTGCGGGACCCAACGCAGGCCTCTAATCCGAAGTATTCCGACCCGGAATTTTGGGGATCCCCCTGTATGAGTTGTTTGTGTTTGAGGAAGATGATCTAAATCTTTATCGTTGGTTAAAGCTACCACTACCCACGTATGGATCCTGCGAGTAAGCATGTACGGAAGTCAAATAGCAGTTCACCCACTAGTCAAACAACAAGTAATACCTCAAACCCTCCAGCAAAAAAGTCTGCAAAAGAGTTAAAGGCAGAACGTCGCGCATTACAGGAAAGTCAAAGGGCAGAAAAAGCTGCGCGGGCTGCTGGAAATGCTTCCGCTCCATCCAAAAAACCCGCACATGGATCTGTAATTAGCACAGCCGTAGGTTCTAGCTCTACTACCTCGACTGCAGCAGCTCCTTCTGAAACTGCCGGACCCATTAAAGCCATTGACCCTAAACAAAAGCATTCTCAAAATAAAGAGACTAAGGAAACCAACAACAAGCAAGTTGACATGTTTTCTCATTTGGAAATTCCAAGAGGTGCTAACACAAGCATGGCTACCAAAGAAATTCATCCCGCAATTTTGGTGCTTGGTTTACAATTTTCAGAATTCAAAATTTGTGGTGCAAATGCCCGTTGTATTGCAGCGCTGACAGCTTTTCAGAAGGTAATGTAAATTATCGATATAATTATATTTATGGTGCATGTCTTAAATTTGGTGCATAATTAAACAGGTCATTCAGGATTACAAAACACCGGAAGGTACAACTCTTTCGCGCCATTTACCTACTCATCTTTCACCTCAAATTACTTATCTGGTAAATGCTCGACCAATGTCTGTTGGAATGGGTAATGCGATCCGTCACCTCAAATGGGAAATATCCACAATAGATATTGAAATGTCGGAAGATGAAGTATGAATACGTGCTTATATTATTGCAGTTTTATAATTTAGTAGAGTTGTTGAACAAATATAATTGGTGTAGGCGAAACAATTATTATGCAAGAAAATCGATAACTTTATTCGTGATAGTATAACGGTTGCGGATCGTGTGATTGTTGAATATGGTTTACAAAAAATTCAGGATGATGACGTAATATTAACATATGCTAGGTTAGTTATACCAATTTTGTTACTACATTTCTTATTTCATTATTTTTGATATATTTGAATTGAAATATAGTTTTAATCCAGATCATCAGTTGTGCAGGCATTATTATTGGAAGCGCACGCAAAGGGAATAAGGTTTAAAGTTATTATTATCGATTCAAGGCCAAGACTTGAAGGTAATAGGATAAAATTTATTATATCGTGTTTATTCATGGAAAGTCAATCTTTATATTTTTTTATTTAAAGGTAAAAAACTCCTGAATCGTCTCGTGGATGCTGGTATTAACTGCACATATGCTTTCCTTCATGCTGTTGGATTTGCAATGAAGGATGTTTCAAAAGTTTTTTTAGGAGCACATGCTTTCATGTCGAACGGTGCTCTTTATTCACGTGTTGGCACTGCAATGGTCGCAATGATGGCAAAAGAAAAGAACATTCCAGTTATTATTTGCTGCGAGACTTATAAGTTTACAGATAAGGTTCAGTTAGATTCTTTTGTAATGAATGAACAAGGTAATCCTAATGATATGGTGAATATTTCTACTACCTTAACTCCAAAACCTGGGTTGCTGTCTGAATGGCTAAATAAGCCAGATCTGAAACTGTTAAATCTATTGTATGATTTAACACCTTCAAAATATATTACAACCGTTATAACGGAGGCTGGAATGATTCCGTGTACTAGTGTGCCAGTAGTAAGTTTCTTTTTTTCAAGCCAAATGGTTTTACAAATAAAAATGTATTCATATTAATAAAACACAATTTAACTATGTTCTTTAGATATTAAGAGAATACAAGTTAGTTATATCTTTATACATGTTTATTAAGATCTATACGTGTTATAATCCCTTGCTAATGGCGCTTTTTTTTTGAATTTAGGCCAATGTTACAATAAAACAATTAATTCATATAATATTATAAATAATAGATTGTAATGTGAAATTGAAAAATTCTTGAGTTTTATTATAAGAATCCGTTACATTCCATTGCACTCTAAAGAAAAGTATAGTATATAAACTGATAAAGATATTCGGATAAAAATTCAGCATTATAATTTTATATTAATTATAAGAAATTAGAGGCTCATAAAATAAACTTTCATGAGAATTTTAAAATAATCAAGACTAATTCTTAGTAATGTTTATTAACTTGAATAAGCTTATACGTATTAAAAATATTTAGATTAATAACATCAAAAAAAAGATCATTGGAAAAATAATCTTAAGTAATGTCTGTCAAAAAAATAGTTGTAAAGAAAATAATACTATACATTGGGAAAATGATATTGCTGAAACAAATGTTTGTTAAAAACAGACCCGGCCGGCCAGTTTTTTTTATAATTTTTTTTTTTAAAAAAATCCACCCAGTTATTAAAACATAAGACTTTTTTTTTTACAAGTTTTCGAATTTTGACCCGGCTGGGTTATGAAAATCAATTAATTAATTTTTGCATGGCCTAATATTGTCAGGGAAATCGTTTTTGCAAAATATTTAACAAGCTAAAATTGCATGGTGGATTGGGGAAATGATTGCGTATTCGAACGTTCGAATCAGACCTCTACCTAGGATTAGGATTAGTATGTATGGTTTAAAAAGGTATAGTGCACCCTATACTATTACAATTCTGGGATATGCAAATATAGAAATTTCAGTAAATTTGGACATGTTTATTTACCTGAACATAAATCTCCGCTACTCCGAACAATCAAGTAACCTATTATGTTCAAAACCGTTTAAGAAGCAAACCAATCAAATAACAAAGATTTTTCTAATTGCTTTATTAAAAAAAAAAAAAACCTGTGAATTTTTCGTAATACATAAATGAATGCTAGACAATTCTTGTGTACGGAATTAGATACTGAGTTCCTATTGATAAAGCTTCTTACAAAATGAGTGCGGACGCAAATGGTATCCAAGTTGATCCCGTCTCAGAGGAGAACAAAATAAAAGCAGAAGAGGCGAAAGAGGCTGCAAATAAACTGTTTAATGGTGGGCTAATTTGTGTGGTTACTTTGAATGTATATTTTTTTTTTACATTAATAGGTACAGCTTAATCTGCCTGTCATTAGCAAAAAATTATGAAGCTGCAATAGCCAAATATACAGAAGCAATTAATTTGAGTCCAAACGTTGCACAGTATTATGCCAATCGATCTTTTGCCTATATAAAGACTGAGGCATATGGTTATGCTGTCGAGGACGCAGAACGTGCTGTTAAAGTCGATCCAACATATACTAAGGTGAAAAATTGCTCAGTTTACCAAATTGTAAAGAATTATTAACATTTATTAGTTTTAATTAATACAGGGTTATTACCGAAAAGCGGTGGCAAATATGGCATTATGCAGATTTAAAGATGCACTTCAGGATTTTCGAATTGTGAGACTTTGTTTGAAACAACCCTAGAACCTTGAATACTCTTACAATTATGATTATTCATGGTAATCCGAAGCCTGTCCATTTTGACAGGTTGCGAAAAAAGATCCGAGCGACATAGGTGTAAGAACCAAATTAGCAGAATGCAAGAAGATTGTGAAACAAATTGAATTTGAAAAAGCCATAGAAGTATGCATTCTTAATTAATGCTAATATTTTGTATAAATTAATCACTATAGTTTTGCTTTGTTTTTTTTTTCTCTCTAAACAAAAAAGACTGAAATACAAATTTATCATTTAGGTAGATTCACACCAGAAAAACATTGCTGAAACAATTGATGTAGATGCGATCGGTGAGTTTACTAAAGAAAATTTAAAATGATTGCTATATTAACAAAACTTCGTCACTTTGAACCCTATGAAAAGCTGTGGATTCATCTTATAATGGTCCAAAGATTGCGAATGGACAGATCACAAAAGAATTTATTGAGGAAATGATGGAATGCTTCAGAAATCAAAAAAAGATTCATCGTAAATACGCATTCCAGGTATGTAAATATATTCCCTTTGTTAATAAAACATCTCGTCACTTGTATGTGACAATTAATGATAGGTTTGATTCAGATAATTTTAGCCGTACGAAAGATGATGTTACAAATGCCATCGTTGGTGGACATCAACATACCTCAAAATTGCAGGTTAACTGTGTGCGGAGATGTTCATGGTTGGTATTATGTTGATTATTACTTTTTTTTTTTAGCACTAGTTAAAGTTATTAAACATGCCTCTCCATAGGTCAATTCTATGATTTTCTCAATATTTTCAAGATCAATGGCTTGCCATCTGAAGAGAACATGTATCTTTTCAATGGTGATTTTGTTGATCGTGGATCATTCAGCATTGAGGTTATACTGACTTTATTCGCTTTTAAATGGCTTTACCCAACATCTGTCTACTTGACGAGAGGTAACCATGAAACTGATGATATGAACAAGGTTTATGGATTCGAAGGCGAGGTTAAGGCTAAATATTCTGAACAAATGTTTGAATTATTTTCTGAGACATTTACTACCCTTCCGCTTGCACATCTTATCAACCAAAAAATCTTGGTAGTTCATGGTGGATTATTCAGTAGAGATGATGTTACGCTAGATGAAATTAGAAAGATCAAGAGGATTGATAAGAAACAACCCGAACATGGAAGCTTAATGTGTGAACTCTTGTGGTCTGGTAGGTAATTAAAATATAGGTAAATTAATAGAATCATGCAAATTTTTTATTTTAAAATCTTAAAAAAAAAAAAAAATAACAAGAATTTAACTAAATTTGATGAAAGTTTTTATAAACTTAAAAATTTTTTATCAAATTTGAATAAGTTTTTATTGAATTTTTATTTAAAAAAAAAGTTACTACAAAAAATTTGCATGGTTTTCATTGACTCATCCCCATACATTATTGTGAAAAAGTTTGATATGCTAATAAGATTAATAAATTTAATGGCGTTCGCCTAATTCAGATCCACAACTACTCCCGGGACGTGGTCCAAGTAAACGAGGTGTAGGAATACAATTTGGACCTGATGTCACTGAGAGTTTCCTGAAGCGTAATAATATTGGTGAGTTTTAGATTATACCTGTAATATTCTGATAGTAGGATTTATTAGCAGCTAAACTCTTGTTCGATTTGATCGCAAACATAGATTTACTAATAAGAAGTCATGAGGTCAAAGAAAATGGTTATGTGGTTGAACATAACGGCAAATGTATTACTGTATTCTCCGCGCCAAATTACTGGTAATGAGATTATATTATATAGATTTTTTTATTCCAAAATTAATCTTTCATCCATTTTAGTGATACCCTTGGAAACAAAGGAGCGCTAATTAATATTACACCAGAACTACAGTTAAGCTATCAGACATTTGAAGCTGTGGTAAGATTTTTTTTTCGTTTTCCTTCTTTAATTGTTCTTAATCATGTAATTGAATTACTTCGTTTAACAGTCCCATCCTAATGTTCGACCTATGGCTTATGCATCCCAATTTGGCGGTTTATTTACATAATATTGCCCATAGTAAACATTACTTGGCTAATATGTTTTGGAAAAATGGCAAATGTTTTTTGCCCGCACATATGAAATTTATTTCGTATATTAAGTCTTAAAAGTGTATTTCATGCATATGTATAATGCAATTTTATAATGGATAATAGTATAAAACTTTTTTTTTTAATGCTTAGTTTTTAACTAGTGCAATTAGTGGTGGTTAAAAATAATTGTACTAGAGGTTTAACAACTTGAAAACTTTATTAAAGCCAATTAGAGATTTCCTAGCAATTCATTACAATGCAAGATACTAACACTAACTCATCTGCTATCATGGATAAAATCCGAAGTTGAAGCACGATAACTATAAATTATTTATCGTTCAAATAATAAACGGAATCCAACTCAACGCATGACCAATTTACTCCTAGACGAAACGTTTAACAATCAAAAGGAATTTGACAACCTACCTTTCTGATAAGTTGTTAATGCCTGATAATTAGATTTACTTTTAACAATACATTTTAAATCTATAAAAATCTGCACCCAACATTAACTCCATCCACACAACAAATAAATATGGTTCAAAATGACAAAAGAATGATTACCAAACTCGCCTCATACGATTAAGCTGATCCAATTCTGCACTGATACTCACCAATATTATCATAGTATTATGTCAAGCACCAAAAAGATGGTATTGTTTGATGTTTGTACGCCAAAACACTTACCCCACACTTACCCACAAATAAATAACAATTACAACAAAAGATGTAGCAAAAAATATCTAATGTTACCTATTTTTTACCTATTTTTTTTACCTATTTTTTTAAACAATAACATGAACAGCGATTTGGTTTCGATTCTTGTCCTAAAACCATAATTTGGAAGATCAACCAAAACTAAAAACATAATGGGCTTTTGAACAAATACAAACCATGTTGCCATAGATCACATGAATCGACATTGACCATAGCAAACATTCGACACGTGAATCTCCGAATTTTCATAGGAACTTACCCAACTAATTTTACCACATTACATACACTTATAAAATAACAATAATAAAATAATAATGTCTACGAAAATTGATGTAAATATTTGATTATCTGCGATCCCTTCTTCTATCTCTATCCCTACCTTTCGAACCATACCTATCATCTCTATATCCTCCTGGACTTCTCGAGCGGCTGCGACCACTACGTCGTCTGTAATCACGATCACTACTACTACTACCTACACCACCTCTATCATTATACCTGCCACCGTACCTGCCACCATTACTACTTCCACCATGCCCGTAACCCGCACTTGTCACGGCGCGTGAAGAATAGCCGGAACGATACTCTTTATCGTAACCAAGAAGGTGTGTAAAGCCCGGACTAATAGCATATGAACCTTCTCTACCCGAATATTTTTGATTTTGATCAGGACCTCCTATTCGGGTTCCTCCGAGTCCTCCACCTTTTAAGCATTTTATGAACTATTAGTACCTATTATTCAGTAACCTAAAATAACAATTGCAATGCATATAAAGAAACTTACCGAGGCGACGAGGTCGCCAACCCTTGACAGTCCGACCACGCTCCACATCAACAAGTATACGTCGTCCTAAAAGTTTAACGCCGTCGGCATCTTTGTACGCAGCTATTAATTTCATGCACAAAATTTCGATCGATTAGATAATCAAAAAAAAAATCTATGTTGCTTCTAGGGATTGGAATCGCCTAAAATTTTTCTTAATCATTTAACCGTTTAATTTGGGGCTGCATTAAAATAATTCCGGCCCATAACCAACATAATTCTGCCGGAACTATGGAGCAATGTTTACGGTTCCAATTCCTAGTTGCTACATGGTGAAGATTAATGGTTTACTGATTTACCTTTCATATCTTTTTCTCGTTCAAATTCAATAAACGCATAACCTCGAGGTTTACCATTCAATTTGTTTTTCACGATTCGTATCTATATATTATTTTTTTGAAAGTAAAAATATGCTTGGAATATTATTGATTAAAAGTTTTTGTTTTTTTGAAAGCCTACATTTTCGATAGGGCCGTACATTTCAAATTCTCTTCGTAAATCTTTGTCAGTCATTTCGTAGCTCTATAAAACGAAATATCAATCAAATAGGTTTTACTGACAAAATAGTAAAAATTTGGTGTATACTATCGGAACATACCATACGAGCGACAAATAGTGTCTTGAACGGATCCCCAGTCACGTTTTCATCTTTGTTAGGATCCCCTGTTAAGACAGTGGTAACGGGATGTAGTATTAATATCATAAAAAGAGACAAATAATTTTTGTCAAAGTAAAAGTTTATTCAACTTGCATTCTTCAAGACCTTTCTTGATTGCATCTTCAGATTTTTGTTTTTTTTCAGCCGACTTGTTAAAAAAAATTAAAATTAAAAGGTAACCAAAAAAAAATCAATAACCTATAAAATATAATCTCATAAAGTTACTTTTCGCTTCTTCTTTTCTTCAACTGTTTCCGTTGGGACATAGCCTGGATCATAATCTTTTAGCAAATGTACTAAATTCCCAACACCGGTAATTGTTGGACCCTTGCGTTTTGCGGGATCTCTGTCTAACGGCTTAGAGTACGGGAGTGGAGGCCTCGGTGCAAACAGAGCCAACAAATTTGGTGGTAATTTATCAGTCATGATTTTAACTAATAGACGTTAGAGAAGGGTCTTCTAAAAAAAAAATTCTTGCATAAAAGTACACCTGTTTCGGAATTCGGAATTCGAAATCCGCGAAATCAACAATTTTCCCGAAATGGTGAACATCTAGAGCCGTGACTTTCACGTGGTTTATGACCAGAAACGAATAATACAGCTGCAAAACATTTTTGGTACTCCTACACCCAGTATTGTACATTTTTTACTGTTCAAAGCTTTTTTGACCATGTCCAAAATAACAAAAAAAAAAAATTTTTTAGAGTATACTCTAGGAAACTGTTAATAAATTTGTTTAAAAAATATATATTTTTTTAGGTTTCGAGTAATTTTAATTTATATTTTTGTTCAAAATGTCTTAACATTAGTGTTTACCTATGACTCATTATGATAAGTGTTGGATTGATCAGACCAGCACAGGTTGAAATAATGAAAAAAAATCTGCAGAATAACAGTAAAATAATAGAAGGTTTGTTGATATTAGTAATATGATGATAACATATTAACAAAATAATAGCATAGTTTATTATTTTACTTTTAGTTTTTATAACTAAAAATAAAATAATAAAAATATTTTAATATGTTGTTATAGGTGAAAGTCTTCTTAATTTTCATACTATAATGATGACATGGCACAGGAAATCTTTTATAGGTATATGTGATGTTTAAGAGGGAAGTATAGTTTTTGTTAGACATTGTTAAGAAACTATACTTTTTTCTAAAGCAGTTCAAAGAAGATAATGCAATACTGATAACTTTACTTTATTTCATTAAGAGAAGATAAACCTTGCCTGTAGGAATTACCCTAGAGGAGGAGTATTAATACAGTTTATAGTCAAAAGTTATTTATTAAAGTAATAACAAGAAGAACTATCCTTAGGTTTCTGTTCCTAAAAAATCTCAAGATGTGTTTACAATATTAAAGAGAAGAAGAATATTTGTTACTTAATTATATTTAGAGAATTTAACAGAGTTTATATATTTATGAGTTAAACAGTTAAGTAGCCAAGTGATTAAGTAATTAAGTGACTAAGCAACTAAGCATTAAGCAACTAAACAACTAAGTGACTAAGTAATTAATTGATTACTAAACAACTAGAAGATTCTAGTAACTAATGACTAATGATTACTAAGTGACCAATTACTAAGCAACTAAGTGACTAAGTGGCTAAGCAACTAAGCAACTAAGCAACTAAGTGATTACTAATCAACTAAAAAGTTCTAGCAATTACTAGTAATAATAATAATACAATAATAAAATAATTAATATTAAATAATATAATAATAATAATAATAATAATAAAATAATAATTTCAATATACACCAACTCTCCCTGACAATCACTTGAATACAAAATTGATGAAAAAAGAAATCAACTTTCTGTACTAACAGCAATAGATAACAATCTCAACAACACTAAATGAAAATAACAGCAACAAAGAAAGCAACAAATAAGCTTAGAAGCAAAAAGCACTGTAACTGTTAATAAGATAGCTATAGAAGAAAACCAAAGTTTTTTTATAGAAATTTTAGTAAAAAGAAAAATTCTAGGGGATTGCTAATGACCCTATATGTAGATCTGTTTGGATTACACAAATAACATATACAGTCTGGACAAAACAAACATGTGCGAGATTTTAGAATAGAATAGGATAAATAAGCCACTTGTGGAATAAACAAACAAATATAACAAATACATGATAGAACATTCTAGAAAAATAGAGTTGTAAATATGAATAAAATCTTCCTATAGAATATAGAGAAAGTTTATAAGCACTCTTTATAAAAAGAACGTACTAGGCTATGAATAGTGTGCATAACAAAATTTTTTTTAATGAGATAAGTAAAACATATATAGTACCAGATAGAGAAGACAAAATTGTTGCATTGCTCACAAAACAAGACCCAAATAAGATGGTACTTTTACAACTAACAAGAGAAATTTTAGAGAAAACTAAAAAAGAACAGTTAGAAAAAAAACTAAATATAAATATAGGAAACCGAGACCGAATAATAGAAGCAGAAAGAGAACAAATACAGTATAACCAAAACAAAGAACAGCAAGTGATAATAAAAGAAAATAAAGAGGAAAATATCAAAAGAAAGCAAGAAATAAAAAGAAATATAAAAGAAGAAAGTGAAAAATATAAAGAAACAAGAAAAAACAAATAAATCACAAAGAGAAGAATAGAGAAAGGTAAGTATAGAAAGAAATAACAAACTGACAGGTGAACCCAATATTCAGAAACAAAAAACCAAGAAGCAAAGAGATATAAGTGAACAAGAGGATATAGAAATAAATAATAAGCAATCAAGACAAAACATACTAGAAGAAGAAAGAGAAAGACAGAAAAGAAGGAAGTAAGAAACAGAGAAAGAAATCAACATTGTAGAAATAACATTAGAACAAAGTATATGAGCACCAAGCAGAAGAAATTGTAATCAAAACAACAGCCTAATCGCTAACATATCAGCATATGAGGTTTTTGAAGAAACAAAAGAAGAATGTATAAAGTTTATTAGGTGGTTTCTAAAGGATTACATACATATAAAAAACATCAACGAAGTATTTAAGAGAGAAAATCTGTAGATAAAAGTGGTCTTTGACTGTAATTATAACAGAGATGAAGCTATACAAAGAATTAATAGAAAAGAGAGTAATTGGTACAAGATAATACCAGAAGATAAAAAAAAGAAAAAGAGAGAAAAAGAAAAACTCAGAGACTACAAGAAAGAATGACAAGATAAAGGAAAACATACATTAAGTTTTAAAAAAGAGAAGATTAAAGAAGACATTAACAGAAAAAAACTATGCAATGATGAATATGAAGAAGAAGAAAGACTCAGTAGCAATATGACTTACTTAACAATATAGAACCTACCAGCTAATATAAACAAAAGAGAAGTAGAGTATATTTGCAAAAGAATTAAAGATGTGCAGATTATATGCATTAAAAGGTTTAAGTACAAAGCCTTAACAGTAATACAAATGCAAAGCATAGAGGAAAAAAATATTCCATGATTACTGCCAGTCAACAATAATAAGCTAGTAAGAGTAACAAGAGGAAGAGAAGACCACAAAGCAAGGGAAAAACAAAGGAAACATACAGCCAAACTAATAGAGCTATCTGAAAATGCTTCAAAAGTCTTATTATTGTGATGCTTGAGAAGTAAAAGAGCAAAGTCAGTATACATTCCACCAAACTGAAACAGGAACCAGAAGCGAACAGCACTGATTATTTTTGCAACAGAGGAAAATATGAGGGCAGCATAGTTAAAACCAATTATGTATAACAATTTTTGAGTATATTGGGTTAATGAAAAGAGAAAAGAGCCAAGAGGTAGAGAAAGTTTCAAGAATAGAAGAGAAGGAAGTTGGGATAAATCAAGCCAAAACTATAATGCTGAAGAAAACAAAAGTAAAAAAAGAAGTTATTGGAACAGAACATATACAAACAGAAAGAAAGATTGAGAAAACCTAAAACCAAAAGTTTAAATAATAGAAGAAGAGAATAGCAGCCTAAGACAGAATATTAAAAACCAAAGTAGATATAAAAGTATAGATAACAGAAAGAAAGAAAGTCAAAAGAAGAAGGAAAATAAAGATAAGATACAATAGCAAGAAAAGAACACATATATAGAAAATATGCTAGGCTGAATTTTAGAAAAACTAGAAAAACTAGAAAAAGTAGATAACATGATAGGGGAAGGCATAGCCAACCACTCCTAAAGGCATCTTAGTTGAACTAATGAATATGGATGATGAGATAGGAAGTTTCTTATAAGATGAAAGAAGAAGTTTTAAAAATGGAAGAGAGAAAACACATTCTCATCCAAAAAAAGAAAGAAATAAGAACAAAAAAGGAAAAGAAAGAGAAGAAACAACAAAAACAAGACAAGAACAACTAAAAGAAAAATAAAAAGAAGGAAGAAAGGAGATTAAAATAGCATGTCATAATGTTAATGAACTCAAAATCAAAGGATGGAAACTTGATAGTCTGCTGGGTTAGGCAGAAAAAGAAAAAGTCACAATACTAGATATCACAGAAACAAACCTTACAGAAAGAGAGAGAAAATTCCTAATGCAAACAACAAACAGGAAATATGTAGGATTTTGGTCAAGTGCAGCAAAAGATAAAAAGAAAGGATCGGGTATAAGAATTATAATTAATAAACAATAGGAAAAACATGTAGGTGCAGTTAAAAGGATAAATGAATATATGATAGAACTTATACTATACTTTAAGCAATTGGAGTTAGTAGTTTTAGGAGTCTATATACCACCAAGTGACAAGTCAATAGGGAAAAACATTCAACAAAAAATCATAGAAATAGTTACCAAGAAGAGAAGACAAACACAAATAGTTATTTTA